CTACTAGTAAGGCCCTTGTTACTACAAGCGATGCACTTGTTACTAGTCATATTGTCCGGACAAGCATTTCGTCCAGGCCGCTTGGTAGCTGCGGCCTTGAGCCCTGCCACGGTGCTGCCGCAGGCGGATCTGTACGACGGATGTTTCTGTTCGCTATTGACATCGATGCGCAAGAGAGTATGAAGAGCTTAGGTGCTAGCATCAGAATTCAAAGGCGCATTGCTGCAATCGCACCAATTGCACAACAATTCGCATGTTTGCCACCTTCGTGGGACTTTTGCATATATTGTTCATCCAAGGTTTCAGTCAAAATCTTAGACCAAAGCCAAGAGTTTGGCTCCCAATCGCCTATTGTCCCAAAGAAACTGAAATGGTTTGGCTGACATCACAGACTGGAGCCCTGCAGCCGAAGATGATCTAAGTTCTTGAATAGTCCAGTCAAGTCCAGACACTTGTTTGCAACAGCTCAGATTTTAACGTGTTAGTCTGAGGATTGGAGTGCATAAAGTCAACACGAACCAAGTCCTTGAACTAGTAGTGGGTAAAGTATGATCGCTCTATTTGAGCAAGCCCTGTGCTCAGCATCATCATCCACCGTTACTTGTGGATATCCCTCAATTAGCGGTACTAATGAGTAGAATAAAACGTTGGTCAGGCCTTCCTTCCTTGTCCCAGGCACCAAGTGCAGGCCGGAACACGGCCCTCCCAGTGGACACAGGCGATTGGTTCGACGCATGGCGCACACATCTCAGATGAAAGACAGATCTGGAAGTAGAAGCGATGGCCTCCAACCTGCTTGCACTTTCACCACACAGAAATAGATCTGAGATTTGTGGATATGCCTCACCTGGGCCTCGGCTCAAGCGTGCCAGGAGATTTGAGGCCACGGGGGTTGCCGAGCGAGGCTTTGCAGGCGCGAATGACATGCTTTTGGGAACGTGACCTTTTCTATTGTTTGGAAAAATGAACCTACTAGTAGCCACGGCTACCAACCTATTAGCGATGACATTTGCATGTTTGTGTTTGTTTGGGAACCATCCCAAGTCTGGGATATTACGTTGTAAGTGCTTTTCTTGTGCATTTACCTCTCCCACGGAGCATAGATCACCTGCGTCGTTTCATGTCATGACCTTATTGCCAGAAGCCATTGGGACTGGACTAAAGGAAACGAATAAACGGGGCCAAGCGGAAGTTTGCTTTGAAGCAGGGATGTTCGCTAGTAGGAGGCCATCGCTATTAGGGTGGAGGCCATTGCTATTAGGTTCCTAAAATATCTTTAAGTATTTTTCTTCCAGTCTTCTTTATTGTTTTCGGTTGGAGGCCATCGCTAGTAGGGTTTAACCTGCCGGTGAGGAAAGTAGAAAAGTTCATAACACCATCCGAGTTGGGATGTCTATACTGGCCAGGTATGCATGAATCTTATGATGTCTGGGTACAATATTGTTGGTGAGCTGGTAGGTTGGAGGCCATCGCTCTTAGGTTTGTTTTTCACTTCGAGGCACAATATATTATTTATTTTGGACTTGTCGTCACACTGGCGACTGTGGCGACTACGCCTTTGCACCCCTGCCTTCAGGCTTTGCGCCGCCCGGACGCACCACCAGAAGGCTGGGTGTTCTCCGACCGCATCAACTGGCCGTTGATCAGTGAAACATGTCCAATCGCAACATTGTGAACATGAACTTAGCAGTCGGGTTTTGATCATTCCGGTGTAGGTGCCCTTGAGTTCAATTTCCACTTCTTTTTATCAACACTGGAATTGGATGGACTGTGGCTGTTCCTCAACCCGGCCCAAGGGAGTGAGAACTCTTCCTTTCACGAACCAGTTGGACAGATCTGACTTGTAGACTAGATGCCCCTTTGGACCTAAGCACAAACCAGGCACGGGCAAGAGCAAGACAAGCCCAGGCCAGAGAGTAGAGAAGTCCTGCTCAATCGAGAATTGAGAATTGAAGAAACGGAGACCAAGAGCTGGCTAGCAATGACATCTCCAAATGCATCAATCGCAAAAGATCAAAAGCTACAGATCAATTGTAACATTCGAGAGTAGCACAAAGCAGGTTGGTTCCTCCTTTCACCTTTGCAATCCTTTTCTACTAGTAACAAGAAGCTACTAGTAACAAAGCGCATCGCTGCTAGGAGCAAGGACGCTACTAGGGGCTCCTGGCCTTACTACTAGGAACAAGAAGCTACTAGGAACAAAGTTGGAAACACCAAAACGTAGGTTGGAGGCCATCGCTATTAGGTTGGTTTCTTGAAGAAAGCACCAAGAGTCAACCACTTCAGGAGCTTCGCGGCTTCGCATCCCGAACTTTCGGCTCTCAAGGCATGAAAGCCACCCTATGCATCATGCTCCGATTTGTGCCGTCATCCCTCATCGGCAAAACAGAGAACGGGGAACAAGAGAGGTCACAAAGAGGTGAATGAGCAATACTACAGTGAAGAGAAGGACACCGTGAAGAGGGCTCCACCTTCCCATCAAACAGACAGAGGTTGAATTCTTTTCAGCGGCCCTGCCATGGTGCTGCTACCCTGGGAGCCCTTTGAAGATCCTGCAATTTCTTGGGAAAAGATCCATGGACAAGCGTGCCTTGGCTTGGTTGATGCTGCTTACAACAAAGCCTTGGAAAACATGCGCACACACACACACACATTTGTCGCATGTGTTGCGTTGTTACATTTGTTTTTCTTCGGGTTCCGAGAAAACAAACCTAACAGTTTCAACACCTGTCACTTTCCAAGACTGCCAACGCCAGCGTTTTTCCAAACCGGCGCCACCTTAGACTTCACTACCTACCTTACTAACAAGGAAAAATAACTTGTGTTTCTTTAGGAGAAGAGTTTCTTCGGTTCATTGTGAAACGCCTACAGCAAGTGCCAAATACCCTTTCAGACGACAGTCACCTGAAACTCCGACCCTCACTGTTTATAAGATCCGGTAGACGCTTGATTGGCGCTCGAAAGACATGTACAGCTTCTGAATCGCAATAGATTTTCTGGTCTAATTGGTGCCTGACCCCTGACCTTGTCCCATTTATGTTCATGCTCCGTGTTGCGGGAGAGTGACTCACACTCGCAGCAAAGCACCTTTCTCATGCTCCGCCCCAGCGTTCTCAAAGCCCCAAGGTTGCCAGTGGTAGAGGTGCGCCCTGATGATGTGGGCGAAGCAGAGTGGCGCATCCAACAGAGGTGCAACTTGATCCGTTGAAACGTGTTCTTCGAAGGAGTGACAGGAGCGCTGACAGGAGCGCAGGAACACCCTTTTCTCCCTTTCTTTTCCACACCTTACTGCGAATTGAAGGAACAAGGTGTTCTTCAACTTGCTTCACTATTCTGTGTTTGTACAGAACGAACACTTGTGACTTGCTTGTGATTTCCAGGTGCAAGCGCGAACTCAAGCGCAAGGTGCGCATAGCTCGAGAGACGAATGACTTTGATATTCAAGCTTCAGTTAAACGTTGCCAAAGTTTCACCATGTAGGTATCGAAGACCATCTAATCTACATGTTAAGTGTGCCGTATATGTTGTCCTTTAATTTAGGGTTGTTAGTTACATATGGTGAGAGAGCTCACTCAACAATGGAGTTATTCTTTTGATGTTGACACTCGGACGTTGTTATGGATTGGTTTCAAGCAGAATCGATTCCAGTCAAACTGTGTGTTCTATGTTCTTTTTATTTTTAATTGCTGTGCTGAAGGTATCTGCATGGAAGACCATCACGAATGAGACTGTCACAGAGAACCACACCAAGGCCAAATCCAGAAGCAGCAGAGGAAGACACCATCTCTAATTAGTCCCTTTTGCAGAAAGAGCTTCTTGCTGTCCAAAATAGAAGAGAAGTTGTTTCCGGACTTTGCCTGAGCACCCTTAAGTGTATCTCTTGTCAATCGTCCTGTCTCACTCGGCATCTCCATTCCCGTGTCAGGTGAGGAAAGGTATGCTCTATGGCATCACTTTCCCCTGGACGGTGTCACAAAGCAGAGATGAACAAAATAAGTAGGTAGATGGAGAGGCGAAAAGAAAGAGAAAGCTTTTGCAACTGATATATGTCCTTTTGAAAGCTATCGAGCTGTGCACCAGAGCAGTTCTTTCTTCTTTCGTTTCAGAGGACTGAAGACATGCTTCACAGTGACGACTGGGGTGCTGAGTGGCTGACAAAGGCACAATCTGGGCTGAGGAATCAAGTAGCGTCCTTGCCCCGTTCGTAGCGATGCCAGGAGCTCCGTTCGTAGCTTCTTTGTTACTAATAGCAAACATTGTTACTACTAGTAAGGCCAGGAGCCCCTAGTAGCGTCCTTGCTCCTAGTAGCGATGCCAGGAGCCCCAGTAGCGAACATTGCTCCTAGGAACTTGACAAACACTTGCCTGTCTTCGGTCAAACTGTTCCTACGTATCATTACGAACAAGTATGCTCTTGCTTTCCAAGAAGTCCACCGCTGACAATTCTACGTCTTTCCTGCAATCTTTTCGATGAGTCAAACGAGGCAGATAAAAGGTCAAGCTGATGTGCAAATGTCCCTAGAACAAACAAATTTGCTACCAGTATTGGGTCAGACCAATCTCGGTTCGCCACATATTTGCTCAGATAAACAGGCTGTGTTGCGGACAAGACCGGATTCCATGTGTTTCCTGTGGACTTCTGGTTGCCTTGTCCACTGACTTTGAGAACCCGTAGTTGAGGAAGGCTTTGTATGAGGGAGAACCGCAAGGGTGAATGACAGGCTCATGGTTTGTGGTACCATGCTCGGTTGATCTTTTTGCTTGTTCTTGAGAAGCTCATGTGGCCAAACCAATTGAGGAGCAGCCTTTTGAGTGAACCACAAGGTGTCAGACTAAATGCAAAAAGTGTTTCTGCATGCTAAGTAGCAGAACTCAACACTCTTTCTCTCAGAGAGAGCTCTCTAGAGTCTCTTTCATCACAGTTTTGCATATGCTATGAAAAAAATGTGTTGCAGATTGATAGACATCTTGTGTCCAAAAACATCAGGATACATCGGATAAGACTGACAGAAATCTCTCACTTTAGATTTCCGCTGAAGCATGTAGAATGTTGCAGATGTCTCTTCACATAACCCAGCGCTTCTATGGATTAAACTGTCATAACGCGCGAAAAAGCTCCGTTCGTAGCGATGGCCAGCCCCGAACGTAGCGTCCGGTCCGTTGTTGTGAGGCGATGCATGCAGCGAACACCTTGCCGAAGGACAACCGCGTCACGAAGGCGTGGGTGACAACAAAGGAGAACCGAAGGAAAGGACGCTACGAACGAAGCAAAGGGCCTTAGGAACAAGAAGCGAACGTAGAAACAATAAGTATATAAATAGACTTTAATTAGAATTAAGTGTAAAAGCAAAGGAGGCTACTAAAGACTCCTAGTTGCGTCCGATCGCTCCTAGTAAGGGCCAGGAGCTAGTAGCGTCCGATCGCTCCTAATGGCAATGGCCTCCAACCTAGTGGCATTCTTGCTACTAGTAACGACTACAACTTCGCAGCACTCGGAGTTTTGTGTCGCTCCCCTTTTTGTGCTACCCGATTCCGAGCAACGGCGTTCCCAAAGGCTTTCAGAACGTCGAATTCAAACCACCCTCTGCCAGGTGATTCCAGACAAGAAGTATAGGAGCCAAGTGCGGAGCGAGAGCGGATTGAGAGAAAGGAAGAGAGAAGGAAAGAAGGAGAAAACAAAAAAAAGAAGGTCTCAGAAAACATCTCAAAAGAGATCGACCACTAACCAGAAAAGACGTGAGGGAAGCGGACGAGAGGCTGTCAGCATTTGCAGGATCACCACAGGCAACAACGGCGGCAAGTTCCTTTTCGAGGTCCAGACCCAGTGAACTGCTGCGGTAACGAGGACACTACTAGGGGCTCCTGGCCTCACTACTAGGAGCAAGTGCCTCGCTACTAGGAGCAAAGGGCATCACTGCTAGGAACAAGGACGCTACTAGGGGCTCCTGGCATTGCTACTGGGAGCAAGGACGCTATTAGGTGGAGGCCATCGCTACTAGGGACAAGAAACTACTAGATTTCCACCGCTAAATCATCAACACTTAAACCAGCACGTTTGTTGAACAGTATTCAACAGCATTTACACCAAGAGCTTGTGCAAGAAAAAACACACCAAATGTAGCGTTTGCAATGCTTCGTTCAACATCCAGACCCTTTTGGATGTCATGACATCCAAACACATGGTGTGCTTTTTGTCGAGCTCAATATCAAGGTGAAGGAATTGAATTTGTTGCAGCATAGCATGGTAGAGATAATCTTTGTATGACATTAGTCTTGTACCATCCACTTGTGAGGTGGAATATGCCACACCTGACGAGCATCTCCACACGAAGCTTTTCGCAAAGATTCCTCACGGCATGGAGAAGGACGGAGCGGCTTGTGTGTTCCATTTCTTAATGCACGTTGTGGTGTCGTTTTTGCACTAAAGCCCCTACTAGTGACAAGGGCATTACCACTAGTAGCCAGTATTTAGTAGCTTGCACAAAAGCCGTGAAGGAGACGATGTCCGATCGGCTGAGCTCTTCCGTGAACAAGCAGCCCATGGAGCTCTATGAGCTCAACACCTCCCGGCTCTTAGAGGCCGACACCACTCGACCTCTCGAGATCTGGAAGTGCAAAGAAAGGAGCCCCTAGTAGTATCCTTGCTCCTAGTAGCGTTCTTGTTTCTAGTAGCGATGCCCTTTGTTACTAGTAGCTTCTTGCTCCTAGTAGTAAGGCCAGGAGCCCCTAGTAGCGTCCAAAGCCCCAAATCATATTCAGATCCTTTTTGACAGGAATATGTTCTGCACAACTAAAGCTGTGAGTCCTTTCATGAGGAGTCTGCTTTAATCAGTGCCAAACGATGAAAGCATACCCCAGACAGAAAGTCACTGGCACGACCAAAGCAAGTTGTGTTCTTCCCTCAATTT